ACTTTGTTATTCATTCAGCAGACTTTTAATCAGAAAATAAATAATTAATAATAAATCTCAAATAATAATCTTCAAAATGTTTCTCTGTCTGATAACATTTGAAGGCTCTGGGATGTTAACATTTCAAAATCCATGTTGTTGCAGGTGTTTGTGGAAACGTTGGATAAATGTTTCGAAAACGTCTGTGAACTGGACCTCATATTTCACATGGACAAGGTGAGTGGGGAACAGGGGAGCAACACACAACATACATGCTACTATTGGTGCCACGTTGTTGTGCGCAGAGCTTTGACTTAGACATGGATTAGCAGCACGTGATGACTGGCTAGGTTATGTCCCTTTTCAGTGTCAGAACAAGCTGCACTGTTAATTTTTAACCTGTGGAACAACAACCCTTGCATGTGACGTTAAGTAACTTTCAGTGTAGCCTTTACAATAAAAGATTTACAAGACAGCTGAAGGAAGCAATGACTCAATCACCAGAGGTTAGTTGAAGCCAGTCGGTCAACTTCTACATTTGAACATTTTCTGTGCTACTATTTTCTGGTTGTGTTTTATGCAAGAAAATTGGTAAGGCAAAAATCAATTGAAAGCACATTTTCCCAGTGTTGTACCTTGAAACATGAAGCCCGTGGTAACCAGGCTCTGTAACACTATGGGAACGTCAAGGCCTTTGCACACACAAGTCTGTTATTTTCATCTCAAAATGTCAAAAACCACCTCATGTTTATTCCATTATGTTTACTGCTCATGTGCCAACTCCAAAACAGTTTGTTATAAATGATTATGTTTTTCATATTCAATAATGGGTTCAGATGTGGGGGAACTTTGGATTTATGAGTGAGCTGTTGAGAGATATGACCCCTAGCTAATGTGCAGCGCAGTCGTGTGTGTTTGTCTTTTCCGTTCAGCCAGCTGCTTTTTCAGGAACAGCTGTGTTGCCATGATTGATCCATTTCCTTTTGGTGTGTGGGCCTAGCCTTTTTACTAATACTGTATATCAAAGTAAGCTCCTGAGGTCATACAGTAGATCTCTCACGAGCGATTCTGCAGCTCCAAAATTCCTCCTCCTCTTGACATTTCCCCCTCAGAAAAATAAGAGCCGTCAGTGCCTGAGGGCTGCATTTTTGTTTTGAAATGGGAATTATCATGAGGAATGATGACAAAAACAGTTTCTTCTTGTAAATACTTTATCAGGTGATGGATTTTAAAAAATTGCATTCTAACTGTGTCCTTAAGAGGGAAGCTCTGCTACAAGAAAGCCTCCTTTCCTCTGCCTGGAGCTGAGCTACAAGTGTTGCTGGAGACTAATCATACACATCTACTGCCATCTTGATTGAATTTTCTCAACAGGAAATCGATGTCATGTGGTGCAGTGGGGTTTGGCCTTAGGAATGTGCCCAAGATGAAACTTGGAAATATTTCTACTAAACCTTTTGCTCTCGGAGGGCTCTGCTAGCTGGACAACATCGCCCTGCATAGCATCGTAAAAGTCTAATATATGCACGCATGCAGGGTTAAGCAGATTTAATATCACTTCTCTGTCGTGGACATATGCAGATTAATAAATTACACCAGTTTTAATTTCTTCTCCATTTGTCATTTCATCCAGCTATTACTCATATAGTCCAACATTTAGGATTATAGCTTTATGGAATACTTTACCTTACTGATTTTACAGCTGTCCCAGGCATGATTGTTTCCAGGTTCTCATTCTAAACCTCAAAGTAGTCTTGCAACAGAAGACAGTCTCATGTTCCCCCGAAATATTTTCTGCCCACAGGAATCCACAAATCTCAATTTCAGAGCAAAATTGAAACGGTCTCCTAGTGAGCTATGAGTGAGAGCTACATTCTAAAGAGGACTGACCTCTCTCCAGCATTAGATTTTTATACCTCTTGCATCCCCTCTGTATCACTGGGTAGAAAGAAACAAAAATTAGCTGAGTTGCAGGATTGTGAAGCTCACAGATTCACCCTCTTGAAACACTTGGCAGCCAGATGTTGTGTAATCTTGTTTACTGGATTTTATGTCTAACATCATTTAAAATGTTCGGTCACTTCTTATGTTCAGTGTGTTCTGAATGCACAACGTGTGTCTGCAGGTCCATTACATCTTGCAGGAGGTGGTGATGGGAGGCATGGTGCTGGAGACCAACATGAATGAGATCGTAGCCCAGGTCGAGGTGCAGAACCGCATGGAGAAGTCAGAGGTCAGTATGTTAGCCACATTAAAGGACCACGCCCATGTTTCTGCATATTTTTGCTCTGCAACTTGTGGAACCATCCCATGAGTGTGGATCATGGGATTTGAAACTTTAAAGCTTGCTTGAATCACTGTCATTATTAGCCTGGTTCCTGACCTCTGGATTGCCACCAACATCTCAAATTAGTTTTGTGAGGTCCGACGTTGTGCCCGCTGATGCGGGTTTTCTGTGGTTGAAGAAACTGCTGCCCAATCAAAACTTAGTAGGCGTAGTGGCTATTAATGGGGACATCAGCTTCCTACATAGCTAGCTAGCCACATGCATGAAAAATAAGGGAGCGACAATGAGACCGACACAGCTTAGGCCTCATAAGGGCCAAAAAAATGCAGCAGAACCAGAGATGTCATCTTTTAATTCCATGCATTGTTCATCATTGTTGTAACTCAGTGCCTGTATTACCCACAATGCAACTCACCCACCTACAGTTCCCTTGGAGATTTGGATGTGTTTTGCTAGTAGTGGTTAAAGTAACCTTGAGTTGCTGGCTACACAGGTCTGGTAAGCTCACTTCTTTTAACGCTACAACACCGGATGTTTTTTATTTTAAATTTTCCAACCTGTAGTCTTCAAACCCAACCAACACTGACTCAAGTGACATCTTTTGAGGCAGTTTATCACACCATATGTAGGTCCCTTTGGAGCCACAAAAGACTCAAGACAACTTTTTCCACACATTCAGCAGTCCCTCCCAAGACCTGGAAACAGACTTTGGTGCGCAAAAATCAACATTTTTCTTAAACCACTGTGAAAACTGCTAAGCTAACAGCTCTTAGTGACTGCCTCTGCAGCTTCTGAGTCAACTGAAAATGTGCAATGCAGGACAGATGTGTCATTCACTACTGATTGGTTGGGGCAAAACAAATGAACCCTCCTCCACATGAACACGTCAGACTAAATGAAATTAAATGGCAGTTCAGGCCAACTTACTGTTGCCTTAATGCCAAGCCTTTTATGTTCTGTCATCGTGATGCACTTGTGGGGCTGTTTTTCCTTTTTGATGCATTCAGGGGCCTGTGGGAGATTCCTAAAGCGTACCTAAAATTTGAGAGTAGATTGCCAAAAAGGCATCATGTTTATGAGTTACTGTACGTTGATGGAAAATGAGGTCTGGACTTCATTATTTCCTGGCAAGAAAGCAAATGAGACTAGTTTCCAATATGTTGAACTATTTCTTTAAGTTTCAGTAGTGACAAAAAGACATTTTGTGAACAGCTCCTCACAACATTGTCAAAAGTGTAGGCAGCAGGATCTATAATATATCCCACTCACAGTGGCTGTAAAGGTTTTTTCCATGTCGTTTTGTGTTGGCAGGGAGGTCTATCAGCGGCCCCCGCTCGCGCCGTCTCTGCCGTGAAGAACATGAACCTGCCCGAGATTCCCCGCAACATCAACATCGGAGACATCAATATCAAAGTGCCGAGCCTCTCCCCGTTTTGAGCAGCACTCCCGCTGAGCTCCGCGGGGTCGATGTACTACTGATGCAGTTCCCCTCCACCCAGTTCTGTTGTTAATACAGAGCAAACCGTTTTAAATGTGTATCATGGAACCACGGCTGCTTATTCTCCCACTCATTCCTATCTTCTTACATCAACGGGAGATAAGCAGTGAATTACTTTTGAGTACTACTGTATACATGTTACATATTGCTCCAGTTGAAGGATTTGCACAATAATGTAAAGTCTATCAAGTATCCAGAGGAATATTAATATCTGTGTATTTTCTGCTGTTCAGTCTTTTTTTTCCTCTAGCGTTTTCCTTCTCTCTCCAAAAGAAAAATGAACTATGTTGGCTCACTGTATTTTCCTGCACAACTCTTCCAAATCTCTGACATTCATCAGTGGTCGTGCCGTTCAAGGCTTGAAAACTTTCCCTGACTGGAGTGAGCTTTTGGACTCGGCACAGCTCACTGTAATAAGATCTTTCGGCTTCTATATTTGGTTATAATTACTCAAACACATCTTTATCTCCTGTTCAAAGTGTGTATTCATACACACTGGGATTAGACTGCACTGCTTGTCACAATTTATTTTTCCATCTCTGTAATATACTGTGTCTCTGGCATCTTTGTGATTTGTGAATAATATTATTGTTCTCCTGAGTGCAGAATGTGCTCAGTACGGCAAATGTAAATTCTGTTAAGTTCTAGCCAAGTTTTCATGTGCTGTGTTAGGATCTTGCCTACGTCTGCTCAGAGGCAGGAGATTAACTTTGACCTTTTTTAGTATGTTAAAGTGTTTGTATAAAGTGTGTTTGTGTCTGGTTGACTGTATTTAGTGGTCACATAGATTCAAAGTCATTTCAGCCATACTCTGGTAGAGTTTTACCATTAAGTTCTGTTGAGCCTCTCAAGAAAGGCAAATGTCTCCGTGTCAAAGACATTCCTTGCCAAGGTAAATTAAATAAATGAAAACCAAAAATCCATGTGGCTGTGCTTTGTTGTGTGTCTTCTTATTCAACCTGGAGTTTTTACTTTGTCAGCAGGTAAACTGAGTCACCAGGCTGTGGTCAACCAGCATCACGTGAAGCTCGCACCATACCGGTCAGAACACTCTGTACCTCTGAGAATCATACACACCGAGTTCTTTCAGCTCAACCACAATGAGTTTGCAGTCTTGTTGATACAGCCACATTCTTTCAGCCCCCCTTCCCACTAATTTAGGGATTTTTTGGGGGGGTGGAATTGAGGGAGTCGTTCCCTCCCTACATCCCCAGAAAAACTTGTGGTAGCTCTCTCAACCTCCCACCTCCGCCCTCACAGATGCAGACTGTTGAGTGTTACACATCAGCCGGGTTCATTTTAGCTCAACTTCTGTGTCTCATGCAGACTTAAATCAGAGCTCGTGGTGGACTTCCAGCTACACGAGGTTTGGTATGTGCTGTTTTTCACCATGTTTGACATGTTAATTTATCCAACATGCTGCATGCCAAGTTACCTCTTTTGTTTGCAAGTTGTGTTTTCCTTCACAGCAAAGGTTCAGTGATAGCCTGTCTGTGTATTAGCTTTACAGCCTTTGGCATCTGGTGCAATGTTGTGCGGCTTCTTTAACAGTGAAGAAGGTTTCTTAGAATCGGCCTGCAGCAGAGAGTGCTCACTGATTATTTGCAAATGGTGTGTGAATGCAGCATGGATAGAATAAATTTACCACAAAATGCTGTGTATGGACATCAGTGATAAAAAGAAAAAAAGATGATTGACTTCTGATGTCACTACAAAGCAGCCAGTTGAGCCTTTGTTGCTTCTCTTTCTCCCTTATTCCTCTATGGATTCACTACTTCCACGTCAAACAAAAGATCAAGGCTAGTAACCACTATTTTAGTGTCATGCAAACCATTAGTAGCGCTTGTGCAATGCAGTTCTGAGAAAAGACTGTATATTTAAGGTCCCAGTTGGACTTCTTGGCTCTGCTTTGGATTAAACGGTTGTCAACATCCACTGTGGACTGTACTGGAGGTAAACTCTGCAACTCCCACAGCTGGCTGAAACTTATCTGCACAGTGGGGAACTGAGGCAACACAGAGCTGATGTAAGTCAGGTTCAAGTGCAGGTAGAACGATGATGCAAAAGTGTGTATAGGTAGTAAAAGGTATTTTACCTTCACATTCTTGAGATAAGATGAACTATTGATCCCTAACACGATATCTGTTTGAAGTGTCAAAGGGCAAAGTGTGAGAGAAGTGAGTGTGTCACGCTGGTGATGTAATTCCCCTTTTTAGGCAAATGAAGATTTACAGGAAGAAGGCAGGGCCCCAGTTTTAGTTCTTCCCAGATATCACCAGTGATTTACAGTTCTGTGCAAACCGCAGAATACTTCTACCAATACTAACTACTCCTATTTTGATGCACGGGTGTCATGCATGAGCACAGGGCTTATCGTGAGGAGCACACGATTTCTACTCATATCCTCGCACAGGTTTTGACCAATAAGAATACAGAATACTTGCAGGGAGCCGAAGAGCAGAGTGTGTTTAAAATCACACCACAAAGCAGAGGTGGTCACATGGTTCTTTTGTTGTCATTTTTTACTCCATGAAAAAATGTGATTTTACACGCCCAAGATAAACATTCCCACTCACAAGATTATCCTACTCTCTACTGGCAGAGGGAACGTGCTTGTGATTTGTTTGGCTTATATTGCTTATTAACTTGGCCTAAAGGGATATTTGTGACATTAGAAGCATTTATCTAACAGACGTGATTCATTTACTCTACTTCTTTCTTGACCCTTGTTTACCATCTTCACTGACGAACAATAACATCATTTTTTACTTACAGCACTGACCGCACCTGCATCAAAATCCTTCTGGTCTGTTACATTGAGATTTAATACTGTGTATCCATATATATATATATATATATATATATATATATATATATATATATATATATACAATATATTATCAATACACATAGAGTCAGACATGTCATGACAAGCCCAACCTTACCTGTTATTAGGAAATGTTTTGTAAATGTTGAACTTTCCTATTATTTATCAGAACAGACAAGGTTACTGTGACTACAAATTGCAGTAATTATCTACACCTTTGGCCAAAATTGAGGGAGAAGGCCTTAATCTAACTTTTTGACACCTGTTGTTTACTGTATAAAAAAAATATGTCACAGAAATGTGTCATTTCTGTGCAAACTGCTTTTGCAGCAACTGCAAAAGAGAGCTGAAAACAAAGCCAAAACACATAAACTAGTTCATTTCCGTGAAACTCAAACACTGCATGCAGCAGTGAGATGGCATACCCCTCATAGAGCGTGGGCGCTGGAATGACCTATTTCACATTTTGTCCAACTTTCTGTGTTCACTATGTGGCACTGGAGAACACACAAATTATATGTCATGTTGCTGTAAGTCAGTTGTATTCCACACCATGTAAATTTCATGTAAATCAAATAATAACTGTCTAACAAGGTATTACTTCCTGTTGTCAGTAGTGGCGCAGTCACTATGACACGTCATCAGCATGTTGACGTCTTCAGGCCCCGGAGCCTTATAAAACAAGTGATATTTGGGGAAGACTGGAAAAGTACACTTAAGTAACCACAACTTCCTGTTTCATGGTGCATTAGGCATTGCCATGGCAACGTTGTTCGATGTTAACTCACAATCTTCACAACTGAGCATCATCAAGGTCTTGCAACTATGCTGACCAAATCTTTGGTGGATCTGGTCACTCCTGTGGGAGGAGTATGTCATAGTAGAAAACATTTCCTGTAGTCAGAAGGTGTTGCTAAGTCTACAACTTCATTTTGGCACGCAGATACCAAGAACCTGGAAATTTTTGGCAGATTGGACAATGTATGCTCAAGTTACAACTTCATGTTTTTTGGTGAAATGTTCAAAATGGCCACTACAGCTGGACAACGTCTTTCAATAAAAACTCACAACTTTCATTGAAAGCATCATTAAGGTCGTGAGGTGGATCTGGTCAACCTGCTAGGAGAAGTAAATCATAGCATAAAACGTGTAATTTTCTGTTTCAATTAGGTAGCACTATAACTATCACAACATTTTGGCATATAGATGTGTTCAGGGTCGGACTCTTATCAAACATGAGAAGTTTGAGGCAGATTGTACCATCTGAAGGCAGGTTACAAACCACTTCCTGTTCCCAGGCAAAACATGGAAATTTGACACCTCGTCATAGTCACAGGGTTTAACAATAACTCAAGCCTTTAATAACTATTCATGTCAAAGGTCTTTAGATTGTACAGAAAAAAATATTTTATTCAATTGGATTAAATCTCTAGGAAATATGTATTTTTGATGTTTGGGTGAGCTGTCTTTTCGAACCCCTTTTCCTTAACTTCACTGCTTCTGTAGTAACAGCTCTCTACCTTTGTACTGTAGGTCTTATATCTTTTTAGACACTGCATGGTAGGAACATAGGTGGCTAAGGGCATGTTTCATATTATAGTGAGATCCTAGAATGTCTACATTTGTGTAGTCTTGGTCTGTAGAGAGTTTCCAGATGCTCTGTACCTGTTGGGTGTTGAGATCTTTATTTTCTCTTTTGATGTCTGAAGGACTCGTTGATCTTTTCAGCCTTCTTATCTTTGTTAATAAAATGGTAGATAACCCTGATAAAGTGTTGCAAGATTTTGTAATATGACTATCTCATTTATTGCTGCCTGATATACAGAAGGTAATAGGCGGAAATATTAAGACAGAGATTCAAATTTCCATAATCAAAATCTTGAATTCATGAAAAGCTTTGTACCTTTATCACAAGGAATGTCTGTTACCAACATAATAGCCCAATGGAATATTATCTGTATACAAATAAAGCCTAATAAACAGATGCCTACATACGAGATTCTTGGGGAGTGTAGCTAGTAGTAGTAGTCAGCTAACTTGTTTCCAAATATAGGCTCCTGTAACAAAGGAAATCTTTAGCTGTAGCCTCTCACTATCAAAGGCTAACTGTTATAGATTACTATTACAACACAGCATGGGTTGTACATTAACCATTAGTTGGGGTATAATTAATCTCAAGTATGTATGTGATGGAAAGACCTGTGTAATAATTAAAATACTGGTGGGGTTACTGACATTTCTGTGTGTTTGTCATGTGCTTCCACATGTGCGGTACGATGATTACATGATGACGTTGTACAGGAAACACCTGCACATGCTGTCAGATAGGAAAGAAAGCAGGGATGTTAAACTAGGACAAAAACTGCGCAGTCAGGATTTTGTCCTTCACATGATAAAAGGAACAAAGTTTGATTTGAGTCTGTGTTTTCTTCTATCAAGTACTGTATGTCACACTCTGTACAGACAGATATTACCACACTACTCCCTGTGCTGTTACTGATAATGTCAAGTGATTCTGATACACAGAGGAGCTTAAGGAAACTGCTGTTACCTCACTGGTAAACTTTGCATCTGAGAAAGGTTTTGCTAAGTTTAAATACCTTGGTGGTTAAAATTTTATTTGTAAGCGTCAGCTGCTCTGAAGCCATCATATCACCATGATATTTTTATTGCCTGTTTTTTCTTGACAGAGTTATCACAATGAGCTTTTATGATCTGTAGCATGAATGAGTGTATAAAAACGTCAGACTGTTGAGAACATCAAAGAGCATCAGGGACAGATAGCAGTTGTAAATGTTAAATGATAAGACAATTAACCAGAGTCACACCACGCTGTGATCTTTGTCCTAGTCGAATTGTACTAGGCTGCACAGAAGTGAGTTAATATGGTCTGTTTTCTCCTGGATAGTCTTTGTTCTAAAATAATCCTGATATTGTTATGACTTTTATCCACCCTGTTGGTTTTTGTTTTATTAAAAATAAATGTCACACACAGAAGAGTTGAAAACAAAATCTATCCATTCATTTTCTGTAACCGCTTGTTGGGTGGCTTGAGCCAATCCCAGCGTACACTGGGCAAGAGTTTGGGCACACCCTGGGCAGGTTGCCACCCTACTGCAGACACATAGAGACAAACCCCTAACCTAACCATTATAACCCTAATCCTAACCCTAACCATTCACATCAATAGGCAATTTAAAGTAACCAGCTCAAGCTGGCCAGTGGGTTCAAACCTGGAGCCATGTTGCTGTGAGGCAACAATGCTAAAATCTGCAGCCCAGACAACAAAATGAAATGGAAAATACTAGGAAATATAGTACTAGATATACATGTAGTACAGACTGACCAATAATAAAAAGGAGAAGAAATCAATAAATGGTTTCCCATTTACAGATTACAAGGATATGCACACATCATGGACCTAAGCAAAAAGTTGCATTGGATTGGATTGCCATTGGATTTTGGATTATTGCAAAAAACAGTCTCTGTGGCAATACTTTATGATGCTTACATGTTTTTTTCAGCAAGGAAATCCTCACAAATAAACACCACTTTTATGATTTTTGAAGCATAAAAGCAATCCTCAATAACAAGCTAATGTTAGGCAGTAATAAATTAACTACACCACCGCAGCATGACTTATTATTCCTATAGCAATGAGGCTGTAAAGCCAGGTTTGATGTCATGATGCTTCGTATCCTCATTTAGCCACTTGTTAGCAATCGTCTGTTTTATGACACCTAAAAGCTTAAAAATTTACAAGTGGGGGTATTGATTGACATATTTTCAATGTCATTGAACAAAACATTGAAATCTCTATCTCTATGAAATCTCTATGTCATAATACTTAATGCCACCTTTGATAAACATCTGTCAGCTCCGGCTAGCTGCACATGCTCCAGTGATTAAGGGCAGCTAGAAGCAATGATAGTTAAGAGCACAAGTTAAGAGCACTGACACACTCATTCTGGTTATTATATTCATAGCAGTAGCACATATGAAAATCCTACTCTTTCTTCCAAATAAACCAGCCACTGGGTACATGTCTGATGCATAACTTTAATGCAAAAACTCATATTAGAGATGAGTGCAGTGGCGGAAATCCCGGGGGGGACGGGGGGACATGACTCCCCCTTCAGTAAAGCTGTCCCCCCCTAGAATAATTTGAGACACAATTAATAATTGTTGAACAGTGCAGGAGTATTTATTGAAAGCACAATTTAAGCGGTGCTCATTATAATCGCGCAATAATGTGCTATTTAAATCTTAAAAGATTTAGTCCCCCCCCTCCCATTCCTAGTAGTGGTATATCACACACTCTTTCCAACGGCCGGGGCTACTAGGCAGCAGTAGCAACGAGTGGCTGGACCCGCTGCCCACATCGCACATTGCAGGGTAAGATGTTCACTCACACAGACACAGTTTAACTGACACAAGTTACAACACATCCCATTTACTGTTACAACAAGCCCCAGGCCCAGGCTGATAATATAAACTGTCAGCAAAATTTCTCCTGCATTGTTCAAAAGCCAGAGTTTAGTGATAGTCAGAGAGGACAGGAGAGAAAGAAGAGGGAGAGGACAGGACAAGAGCAGTCAGTGGCGGAGCGGCTCGTAGCTAATGGGTACCTGTCTGTAGGCTCTCCACCTGTCAGTGAGACAAACATGAAAGACATGCAGTTTAACCGACAAGGAGCGGTAATTACGCGCGACTATTACGCACAGTTGTGAGGTGCGCAGCGACAGATCTCACAGCACACTGTTTATAAACCAGTTTACCAGTTTACCCCCCCTCCCCCCCACCCCCCAACTGTGAAATGGGATTTTCGCCCCTGGGATAGACTGAAGCTTGACAGGGGATGACATGCAGCAAATCGCTGCAGGCTGGCATTGAACCCACAGCGGCAAAGTGTCTTTGTGCATGGAAGGCGTGGTCTAACCACTTGGGCACCTGACAATATAATAAGTATTATTCATCAGCCACATACAATTTTGAAGAAGAGACTGTTTAATTTGTTTGTTTGAAAAATTAAAAGCATAACAATGGGGTAATTTTCCGTCCAAAGCAGTCAGTGTATTCCTCCATCAGTCATCAGCGCTTCCCATACTGAAACAAGTGGTAACAACTGGTACCTTGCTTTCCAACACTGATCAGAGGAAACCTTTCCATATGCTTCCTTGCATGAAAGACTGCAATGCATGATATCATATCAGTTCTGCGTGTAGATATTCTGGTGGCAGACTATGTAAAACATCTTGGAAAACCAGTGGAGGATGCTTGTGATGTGTATTGATGATAACTACTGAAAGTGAATGACTGAAATGTAATTTGTGACATTAATTGACACTGTGCTCTATTACTTCACATCTGCAAATCTAGGAACCAGGTTGCAGACTAGATGACCAAGGTCTTCGTATTTTTCCATTTCTTCTTAGGTGTTCTGAAAATGTCTTTTTTGCCATGTTAATATCTCAACCATTAACTGAGGAGGGAAGAGACCGGCTGTGCTGGACAAACACAGACTGAGAGTTCATCTCTGAACTCCTGATTCGGACATGGGGAAAGTCTACTATGTCAGTAAAAACGTGGGCCTCGGATTGCTTGTGCTGGCGGCCTGTGCTCTGGCTACAATTATAGCTCTGTCCATTGCCTATGACAAGGAAAGGGCCAAGAATCGAGGCAAGCCTGGAGATGGAGCAACAGAGAGCACCAGCTTGCCAACACCCTTCACCACTCCCTTTACTCCTAAGGAGCCCTGGGACTACTACAGACTTCCAGACTCTCTTGTTCCTGTCTCCTATAATGTCACCCTGTGGCCCCGGCTGAAGCCCAACGCAGACGGCCTCTACATCTTCACTGGACAGTCAACTGTGATCTTCAGATGTGTGAAAGAAACAGACCTCATCATCATCCACTCCAACAAGCTGAACCTCACCACCTTCCAGGGACACCATGCTAAGCTGAGTGGCCTGGGTGAAGCCACTGCGCCCACAATACAAAGGTCTTGGCTTGTTGTGCGGACGGAGTATCTGGTTCTTCAGCTACGCAGCAGACTGACTGTTGGAACATCATATGTACTTAACACTAAATTTCGGGGGGAGCTGGCAGATGATCTGGAGGGCTTCTACAGGAGTGAATACACTGAGGATGGTGTAAAGAAGTAAGCAATGATGCAGCACTGCAAAATGGTGCACCATCACTGTGCTCTTGACTGTATTTTTTATAGTTCCAGTGTTCCTCTTGGTGGGACTTTGGAGTATTTGGCTTGATTGATGTCTACTTTGTATCAATGTTTAATTGGAACATTTTGCAGAGTCGTCGCTACCTCGCAGATGCAAGCAACATATGCCAGGAAATCCTTTCCTTGCTTTGACGAGCCAGCAATGAAAGCCGTCTTCAACGTCACCATCATCCACGACCGAGACACTGTGGCTCTGTCCAACGGCAGGGAAACCGGTTCGTTTTAGAAACACAAGTTCATATTTTTACATCCTAATTCTCTGTGCAAACTGGGTCAGTACAAAAGCAAATGGTAGAATCAAATAGGAACACAAAACATATTGGAAGTGAAAAATTTTAAGTAATTGCAATATAACACAAATGGTGGTTAGTACAAGATATCTGACTTGTTATTTAAAAAGGATTATCATGTGTCATGTGTAAGACAGTATGATTGTCAATAATTAACAACTTGGGCATGTAATGGGAAAATCAGCAACTACATGCTGTGTCATTCTAACTCGTTCTCTCCCTGAACAGGCATTGAGGTTTCTGTCATTGACAACGTGCCTGTCAGAGTGACTACATTTGAGCCCACAGAGAGAATGTCCACATATCTGCTGGCATTTATTGTCAGTGACTTTGTTGACATTCAATCAACCCTTAACAACAATTTGTTGGTGAGACTTTTGGTTCCCTGTTTACATTACCAGTGTAGTCAGCATACACATTAATTTTGATCATAGACCAAAAGCAGTACAAACAACCAGTGTTAATGATGACAAGGGTCAGAGGTCACACCATCTGGATATTCATGTGACCACAGGATGAAAAAATTGTGGGACAATTTTTAAAATGATCACTGGTATTTTGTTTTTAAATAAAGCTACTGAATTCTTTGCAGATTCGAATCTGGGCTCGAAGAAAAGCCATAGACAACAAGCAGGGTGACTATGCTCTCAACGTTACAGGGCCAATCCTTCAGTTCTATGAGCATTACTACAATGCCACATATCCGCTCTCCAAGTCAGGTGGGTCAACATTTTCCTGTGATGATAGAAATATTAATCTAATTTCCTTTATCTCACATAGCTTGGCATTCAGTCTTCAATTCAATTGGAAAAAGGAACATTTTGTGCATTATGTGTTAGCTTTGCTGTTGGATGTTTTATCCTGTATCCAAAATGACTTCCAGTAATACATGTCACTTTTAAGATCAACTACATTACAAAGAACAAATCGTGATGAATCATTGAGACTGAAGTGTAGAGACATGCTAGCAGCTCTGTGAGGCTTTAGGCTATGTATGCATAGCAGTACTTTGAGATCAATTTTAATAACATGCTCACAGTGACATAATATTTCATGTTCACCATCTTAGTTTAGCGTGCTCACATGCTAACATTTGCTGATTACCAGTAAACACAAAGTACAGCTGAGTCTGATTGGACTATCATTAGGTTTTATAGGTATATATATAGGTCATAAACCAAAGTAAAAATTTAACCTGATAAAGACAATCCATCCAATAGTTGAGACATTTCACTCACAGTAACAAATGTAGGCCTCATGGTGGCAGTAAAGAGTCTGGGGATCACCAATGTTATTCAGAATCATCCTCTGTAGACCATGAATGTCTGTACAAACTTCCATGACAATCCCTTGAATAGTTGTTAAGATATTTCACTCTGGACCAAAGTGGTGGACCGACCGATCAACCAACTGACTGACAGACAGATATTCAGATATTGCAGATCCCTACAGCCATGAGGCTAGCATGACTAAAAAGCAAAAACCAGACATCACAACACAAATGTTTTCCCCAAATCTGCTCCATTGTCCCTGCTGTACCAAGCTTCATTTAAAAACTTTGGTCATCAGCAAACAGTTCAGTTCAAGAGTATGTTAACTTCCCTTTTTTTCATTTTAAACTTCTTGTGTCACATACAACATGTGGATGGTAAACAATTAAACACATATATTATTAAAACCTTATCAGTGAATCACATACATGCTAAATACACCAGTTTTTTCAAATGTCTTGTCGTGGGCCCTTTCTAGTTCTGATTTCTGATCATTTTATGATGTCTTTGTCCTCCCCAGATCAGATAGCTCTGCCTGACTTCCATGCCGGAGCAATGGAGAACTGGGGTCTGGTCACATACAGAGAGACTGCCCTGCTCTATGACCCCATCATGTCTTCCACTGGAAACAAAGAGAGAATTACAACTATCATCTCCCATGAATTGGCACACATGGTAGACCATAATATTTCTCTCAAATTGCTATCATCATATCTGTTCCAGCTGTGGTAATAAGGAGGAAAGATCATGTAGTAAGTTATAATGGGAGTTAATAATCAGGACATCGATTTGGTGCAGTCTCAGTTCTTCTCTTGTGCAGAACACAGTAATGTTGTAAACATACATTTAGCCAAAGTACTCAACCTCCCTTTGCAAAGGCAGATGACGGATCATCACCTGGGGACAAATTAACCCTGCTCCCTTTCAGAAGTATTCATAGTTAGACATCTTAAGTGATGTCAAATTCCGTGGTTGGTAAGCCCCTGCTTACTGAGATTTTTATATTTCTTGTAGTGGAACTTTAGTGGTAATGTTGGCCAACATCTTAACACACTTTCAGACAGCATCAGTTTTCGTGGGAATTTTCCTTCCTTGAGAATGTGCTGAGAATAACTGAGGTGTAACTGTGGCAATCTCTTTATCTCTTTACTCTTTATGTTGTGTTTTCTTAGTGGTTTGGCAACCTGGTGACTCTGAAATGGTGGAATGACCTGTGGTTGAACGAGGGCTTTGCATCATATGTTGAGTACCTTGGAGCTGACCATGCTGAGCCCACCTGGAGCATGGTAAGAGCCATGCTTGAAAAGACAGAGGGCCCAATTACATTTCACAGATCAATGGTGTCTATGGGTCAGAAAGCCTGTCCTAACTCATCTCTCTGCTTGGCTGCAGAAAGACGAGATCGTACTGTCTGATGTGCACAAAGTGTTTGCTGTGGATGCCCTGGCCACCTCTCACCCACTGTCCCGTCGAGAAGAGGAGGTCAACACTCCTGCTCAGATCAGTGAGATGTTCAACACCATCTCCTACAGCAAGGTCTGCTTCTCTGCCAATGTTTTACACAGTAATCTGATAGAGTGGTGAAGGAATGAGTCCTACAACTGGGAAATTAATTTGCATTTTTCGCATTCTCAGTTCCCTCATTGAGACGTTAATGGGTTTTTTTAATGCATTTTTGGTCAGATGCCTAGGAAAATAGGTCTGTTATCATCAAGTTTAAGAGATTAACATTTTGTGCCACAATACAAAATTCATCAGTAAATACCCACCCAACATCAGCTTTGTACTTTTTGGCAATTACATTTATGCATCAAAAAGTCATAAAAGCGATGTTTGGTGAAGATTGTGTTGCTGGACAAAATGTGTCATCAACTATTGTTTGCCACAGAGCTTATTTTCTGTAATAATCCAAAATCCAATGGAAAAATCCCACAGACTTTTTTGACATGGGAACCAGGGCGATGTTAACTTCTGGGTTGGCCTACAAAAAAAAAAAATAAAACATCAACCCTGCATCACTTTGTACAGTTGTATTTATTTGAATTTTTCCCTCTCACACACTTAATTTTTATTAACTACTTGATTTAAAAAATACTCAAAAATATCTTATTATATTGGTATCATTTCATGCCGATTTTCTATTTTTTATTATCAAATTTTTATTATTTTTTATTATTTTTTTATCATTAAGTTTTAGTTTTATCTTATTCCCCTTTTCTAAGTCCCTGGAAAATGCATGTAGTACAAATACCCCAAATAATTATAGCATATTCAGAATGACTCTCACTTTTGAGTCTATTTCACATTCATCCAGTCCTGAATCTTGTCATTTCCTGAATCAGGAGCCATGTTGCCCTGTCAGAGAACCACCTTGCTCAAATATATTAAATTGAACACAAACTCCTTTGCTGTGGTTTCTGTGTTTGCTCTTGTCAGGGAGCCGCAGTGCTCAGGATGCTGTCAGAGTTTCTCACTGAGCCTGTGTTTGCCAAAGGACTCAGTGTGAGTATTCACTGTCAGCCCCATTACTTAATTACTACTGTCACTGTGTATGTGTGTGTGTGTGTGTGTGTGTGTGTGTGTGTGTGTGTGTGCGTGCGTGCGTGCGTGCGTGCGTGCTTGTGCGCACTAGTGACAGAGTCTGTGGGTATGATGAATCACACTGTATTCATGTTATTGTTACTCTGACTAAGGATTACTTGCTTGAAATTGATGATTTATCGCTTCCTGTGTACTGTGGTTGGACTCTTACAACACAATGTGTTTTTAAACATGCAGCCTAATGCAACTTTTTAACAGTAATCTTGCTGATGCCTGATCTGCTGTTCATAACTAGTTTCTCTTTTCAGTCTTACCTGAATACTTTCGCCTTTGGCAACACAGTGTATACAGACTTGTGGGACCATCTCCAGCAGGTTGGAACAGTCAAAAGGCTTAACAGTTACAAACATGTTGTGCATGATGTTACTTGGCAATGGTCTTTGTATGTGTGTGTGTTTCTTCTTAATTTTCTGTGACTTTCTCTTTGTTGTTAGGCAGTTGAAAACACACCAGGTATTCATATTCCTCATACCGTCCACAACATCATGAAACGCTGGACTCTTCAGATGGGCTTCCCAGTGGTCACTATTGACACCCGCACAGGAAGTATCACCCAGAAACACTTTCTGTTGGATCCAGAATCTGTAGTGGACAGGCCCTCTGAGTTCAAGTAGGAATCAGTTAGATCCATTCAGACATTAAATCAGATTCCTTGATGCCAAATGTTATGGACTAAATTTAATGGCAGTACATCCAAAAGGACGACAGAAAGCCTGACCAACAGCCTCACATTGCTATCCTGAAAGCCATGCAGCTAACATGGCTGAAAAGCAGAATTTTCCACATTTTGACTCGTTGTTGTTATCCATGTTTCTGTCCAGTTACACATGGTTTGTCCCAATTAAATGGATGAAGACAGGTGTGGAGCAGGAACAGTACTGGCTCCTTCAAAGGACGGGTATGGTCATACTGAGTAACACCCACTTCTCCTCTAGATCAGACCTGCATACTAGAGAAGGAAAGATTTTCGACCAGATGAGTGGAGTCAACCCAAGCTGGTCATGGCATTAACTGAATAGTCTGCATATCTTTCTTTCATATTTTTCACCAGACGCTCACAATCTGATGAGAGTTTCAGGACAGGACTGGGTGTTGGCCAACATCGATGTATCTGGGTACTTTAGGGTGAACTATGATCTTGGCAACTGGGATCGTCTCCTTTCCCTGCTCAACACCAACCATCAGGTGAGTCACATCCCCATTCACCAGCATCTCTAATTCCATTCCGTGACAGTTTTGTTTGTGCTGTACGTCTACTTTTAGATGAATACAGAAAATGGCAAGATAAAGAGGGTTGCAGACTTGCTTAAGAGTAAAGGGTACCTGTTGTAGCCTGGCAGCTCATTTTTGATTTCCAGGGGGTGTTATGAACAGGCGCAGACGAGAAAGCTTCTGGACGCAACTCGAGAGACTTACAACCAATCAGAGCAGTGAAAGGTGTGATGTGGCACTGAGCAAAACATGCAAGTTGCGGTGGTGCTTCGTCCATTGGCGGCCTGGTCACAAACTTCCTCAAATCACAGCTAGACAGTACAAGAAAATGTGTTTCTGCAAACGTATTAGGTGGGAAATAGGCCATGGTTTGAAAAGTTGGATCACAGTTTGGTGAGCCTGGCATGTTAGGGTGGACAGAGCAGAGACTGGTGACACTCCTCTGTCAGTTATCAAACCTGCCCCATATTACATAAACAGCTGCTATTGGCCTGCCCAGGATCTGGTGGAAATAAAGTGTTGTTTGAACATTAAAGCATGTAAACATGTCCTGGTAGAAACCCAACATGCAAGTATAAACCTGTAAATGTGCATAATTAATCCCCTTTGATTTTATTTCTCATTCTAACTTGGCCAATCACAAAGCTGATACTGGATGGGGCTAGTGTGAACATCTTAACACGCCCGACAAGTCTAAATACATTTTGATGCAGGAATGTGCTGGTTTTGGCAAATTTCATTCTTGATATTGCATTTTCAGATGGTCTTAAATTTTAATTCCAGGTTCCCAGCATTAAATGATGTTTCTGAAACTGCATGTTTGAACATGTATGTGATGTTTTTCTTTCAGGCCTTATCAATTATCAACAGAGCACAGATCATAGATGATGCATTCAACCTAGCAAGGTAAAGAAAACTAAGTATTCAAAGTACTGAATCTTTCACACATTGTATGTCTGCAAAGAATGTGAAGGATCTGTTCCCCTTGTACAGAGCCAAAATAATCAATACTACATTGGCCCTGAGAACAACCAAATACCTGTCCAAGGAAAGAGAGTACATCCCCTGGGAGTCAGCTCTGAGAAACCTCAACTACTACATCCTCATGTTTGACCGCTCTGAGGTTTATGGAGCTTTACAGGTTAATACTGCTTTACTATAGATACTGCTCATTTTGATGCTAACAGGAAAGTGTAAAATGGCCTCACATAACAACTATTGCTGATATGTTTTCATTTTAGTCATACCTCAAGAAACAAATCCAACCACTTTTTGAGCACTTCAAGACAATTACAGCTAACTGGACCAAAGTACCATCAGGACACACTGACAAGTAAGAATTCATAGAACAGAAGATGTATTTTTAAAACAAAAAGGTGACTTACCATTTGGTGATGTAATTCAATGCAGTACTTAATTTCTACTGTTACCTTTTCCACAAGTCTCACGCATATTGGGCATTGTCATCCGATGTTGCTGTGTTTCCCATCTCTCTTCTCAGGTATAATCAGATCAATGCCATTGGAACAGCCTGCAGTGCGGGTGTGGAGGGTTGCAGGGAGCTGATCAAAAGCTGGTACAGACAGTGGATGGAAAACCCACATCGCAACCTGTGAGTATCCAGCAGTCAGGGTCACTTCTTTTGTGGTTTAAAATTTCATGTTCACACAAATTTGACTGTGTGTGCAGTGTGTTAATTCACCCAAGAGGGCCACTGAAACATCTGTGTGTGTGTGTGTGTGTGTGTGTGTGTGTGTGAGGAGAGAGACTTTTGTGGTATTCATTCTACAGTCTCCTGTGTGTTTGCCTTGATGTTGACCAGGATCCATCCCAACTTGAAAAGCACAGTTTATTGCTATGCCATAGCCTATGGTGGTGTGGAGGAGTGGGACTTTGCCTGGAGAATGTTGAAGAATGCCACTTTGGCATCTGAAGCTTCCAGGCTCAGGACAGCGTTGGCCTGCGCCAAAGCGCCTTGGCTTTTGAACAGGTATGCAAGACAGCCAGATTTGTAGGAGTATTTTCATTCAAGGAGTTTTTTGAATGAGACATCCGTACACCACCAGTGTACAAGGTCTCTCCCTTCGACTGCTTGTTTCCTGTACTTTCAAAGACATGAAATGTACACATGATATATAGAGTCAAAGGCTACGTTCAGACTGCAGATTTGTTTCTTAAATCAGACCTTTAGTCCGACTGACTGCACTGTTATTTGCAAGTGATCAGATCGGATTTATGTGTCCAGATATCAGGCAGTCTGAACAAGGTGTTAAAGTCAGCAAAATGACTTGACCCCCTTTCCCGCTGCACAAAAAACCCACTAATACCTGCAATCATCTGGGTTTTTTTTTTATAATAGAAAAGGTTACAATCAGCATTCACACCTGAGTCAAATGACTGCAGTAGGTCACCAGAATTTATCAGCTCCAGCTCTGATCAGCAGTGATGGAAATACAACAACACCCAGGTGGGTACGCCAATTACAGCCTCTTTGCCGGTGCCACACAATGACAGGCTGTGAGAAAATACCATCCGTTTCCAACAGAGCAGCATTCAAAAATCTTTTGAAATTCAGTCAGCACTGACTTCCAAAGAAAGGCCAAATAAGTAAGAGATAAATAAAAGGTGTAACCACTGTAAATTTCCACTGGGCTCCATTCTGCTTTCTACTGTATAATTTCCTGTTTTACAACCTGTCCGTGACGTCATACCTGACTCACTAGAAAAGACAAAGACACACACACTTGTCTGCTGCAGAACCGTGCACACAGCTCCAGTCTACTGGCAATGGGAAAGGAGTTTAGTGTCTATTTTTAACAGGTTTTCCCACGTTTAAAAAATCCTCACGCATGTGCTAATGTTGGTTGAAAAAAGGGTATCAGAAATGTCAGTTTAAGAGGAGGCTAATATTCACCTGCTAGCATTGGATAACGTTAGCCACCATAAGCTAACGGTCATACCAGAACAAGAAAGACTATCACAGCAAAATATTTATAAGATGTGCCATTAGGTTGTTGAAAAGTTACATAGTCTCAATAGGTCGGTTGTAGCACATTTTTGCCTTGCACTAGTCACACTAATTTGACTGTTTGACTGTTAGTGCAGCGTATTTATTTGCCGTGAATTTTCAGTAACTACAGATGTTAGCTCTAGCTATAGCTAGAAACATACCAGCACATTCTCATCCCAAGTCATCACACGCGCTAGGTATTCTTCTGCATCTGCTGATGGTTTCCAGGACACGCTACCAACAAAAAACGTCATGGTTTGGCTCTACATTCATACAGCAAGTGAACCCCAGGCTCTCAGGGGAGAGTCTGGGGTTTGTTGGACCCATCTACTACCCCTCCCACCCACACTATAAGGACTTTCCAGCTCCTTCTGTCGTAACCAGCAGTGTTTCAACCTGACTCCATCCAGCGGCATATCATAACAATGAGACTGGTTACGTCCGGCTGCATTTCACACTGATGCCGCCCGGCCACGTATCAGATATGTCAGCTAATCTCAGAACAGTTAAAATACTTTCTAGTGGGAAGGACCAATCTTAAATTCGTGCCACTGAGAGCAAACCTCCATCATTTCACAGCCACCGGTGCCTCTCTGTTGACTTTCACAATGCTGTGCTAAAACAGTGTCAAAAATCTGCCTTGCATTCTGCCTGAACACGCCTTTACAACTCAGTTAACTGTACTATTTCAGGAAAGAAGTCAACCATAACACTAAGTAAGGTAACAACCGTGCCACCCTTTTTACATGCTCCAGATGTTTAAAATATTCAATGATCTTATGGTAATTATTCTTCTAAAGTAAGTGTATTAATGTGTATTGGATTTGATTGCTCTGAAAGAAAATTTTTATGTTGAGCCAGGTATCTGGAGTACACCCTAGATGTAAGTAAAGTCCGCAGGCAAGACGCCCTCTCTACCATCCAGTACATCGCCGGAAATGTTGTGGGGATGCCGCTGGCCTGGAACTTCGTCAGAGCAAGATGGAGCCAGATTTTCCAGCTGTAAGAGATCACTCCTCAGGGAGGGTTTGATGGAAAAACAGTCAGCAGTCTGAAGGAATGAATTAAGGTCGGAGGAATATTTGATACACAGAATCCACAACAGGTGCCAGCTGAGTGTAAAAGTTAAAAATGCTGAGGATTTCTAGGTAGAAATGTAACTTCAACAGCTGCACATATGGTGATATTTATCCTTAACTTACTCACCCAGTTTGCTGAGTGTGCAAGCATTTCTTCGACCCTTCCCTTTTTTGAGTTAGCTTGGAAAATAGTCAAGTCTTTGACAATGAAGCATGAATAACTATATTAAGTGCTAAAAATGTTGAACTGTTTTGAGCCTTAACACCAACAGCACCAGCCTTTATTTGCAGACTTCTCCATTTATAGGTTTTTTTATCTGTTGTTTTCCCAGAAAGATGTTCAGTGGGATCAACAGCAGGATATACACAATTTCACTCTGCTAATCACCATCATTATATCACTATACTTTTAAAGTAAGCAGCATATTTCTTTTCTTTATTAGGTATGGGGGTGGATCATTTTCCTTCTCTAACCTCATCAGCGGGATCACAAAGAGATTCTCTACAGAGTTTGAGTTGCAGGAGGTATGCAGCCTGCACAGCCACAACCACACTGAAATACACACTTCCCTGAGGGTTTTCAGAGGTTTCAGTTTTTCTGTCTTTGTTTTTTGCGTCTCCCTTCAGCTGAGGAAATTCAAAGAAGACAACCTCCACATTGGTTTTGGCTCCGCCACCTTGGCCCTGGAGCAGGCTATAGAGAAGACAACAGCCAACATTAAATGGGTGACGGAGAACAAAGCCCATGTGCTGAGGTGGTTTACTGAAGAGTCCACATGAGAACACTGAGAAAGTCAAAGTCAGACACTCTCTCTTTTTTTTTTTTTTTTGTACTATCAGGGATACATAATGAATGACAATCACTATAATCATCATGATCAGCAAATGGTGTGGTAAAGACAAGTGACACAAACAATACCTCACTGGTCATTCAGCACAAAGAAACGACATATTATGATCAGTGAACCACTTATATAACCATATATCAGTGATGTAGCTGTAATAAAGAAGTTGAACCTTCACCCCTAGTCTGTGATTGTCAGAGAGAAAAGCATTTATTTTTAATCTCAGAGAGGCATTCATTTTATGTCTTTTTCTTTTCTCCATACTTCACATTACGTATTGCTGCTTACTATGATGTATGTGAGCCATGTGCAGAGCACCAGAGCAGCTTCAGAGTTCATAGGCATTCATTTTACAAGTGGCTGAAACCTGTGAGTGTATTTAGTGACCCTAATCATGACGGGATGTTAACTTAATGCCATATTTAAAAATGACTGTGTTATATGTTATTAACAGCTATGATAAATTAACATTGCCTGCAGCTTATTTGATATACGTCATTCTCAACACTGGTTGAAATATTTGGATAAATTGGATAAATTAATCTGATTAGATTTGTATTAGTCTTATTGTCATTTGTCCTTTTTTAAAAACTTGATAACATCATAAATCATTGCACTATAGGGTGTACTAATTTTTGCCAGTCCTATGCAAAGACTCAATGGTGAAATAAATAAGAAAGGCTCAGACAGACCTGATGTCTGTGTCTGTTTTTCTCTGTTTTCTCTTTTTTTCCCCTGACAAAACCAGAAACTGATGACCGCTGTTCAGTCTGCGCATAACACTTAAATTTGAAGGTGGTTTTTGAAAGTGATAAAATCAAAGGCTCCACACGGAATTTTTTTCCCTGTCCATACTTCTGTGTGGGTGTATGTATGACTTCACTCCTTTGGAAAATCAGTCTGATCACACTGTCATAATTACAGCACTTACTGGGAACTGAAAGGAAATCTTCCACCTCACTACAGAGGAGAAAGTCTGTTTGAAACATTTGTTTTGGCCGTTTAAAGTGACAGCATGAGCTAATAAGACAGCTTACAGACTCTTTATGACCTGTACAAAGGTGAAAACAATGAAATGGTTAAAGAAACTGACAAAGTCAGTCTACCAGTGACGGGAAATACTGCACAGCGTGTGAAAACTGTTGTGTAATGTCTTCTGTAGAGAAAACAGCCTAAGGGACTTCACACGGGTATGTAGGCTCGGGCTTGAGGAGCACAATTTTTAAACAGGAAACAGTCAATGAGTATGAAACAGACTTAAATGGACGTGCACTTTTATAGCATCTTCTAGTCTTCCAACCTCTCAAAGTGCTTTAACACTACTCGTTGCATTCACCCATTTGGGTACACATTCATACAGTGGTGGCAGAGGCAACCATTCACACAACAGTGACACAGCCCCATTATCTTGCCCAAGGATACTAAGACATGTGGACCGTGGGAGCTGGGGACTGAGTCACTACCGCACATAAAAAATGGCTGCTCAGCGCAATTTCACTTAAAGATCCAGTTTGTAAGATTTATGGACATTTAGTGGTGTCCAGCGGCAAGGATTGTAAATTGCAACCAGCTGAAACTTCTCCCGATTTAAATTCCCTCTGTCTTCAGTTCAAGAGGTTTTTCCTGGAGACGCATTATCCACAGAGGTTCTCGTTCTCTCCAAAACAAATGGACCAGGTGATTAAAACCAGTAAAAACACTGACTAAAGTAGCTTGCCCAACACCTGCGATGTGTGTTCACCTTTTTTCTCTGATAACTGAATGTGTGCTCACCTTATTTCTGTACCAGATGTTCAAGAGAATTTTACGAGGAGCCACATTATCCGCAGAGGTCTCTTCCTCGCTAAAACAGACCAACCCAATGATTTTAACCAACGAAAACACATAATAAAGCAGCTTCACATCACAAATCAGTGTTTTTTCAATGCTGTTTGGCATGTTGGAGACAGGCAGTTCCAGACATTCAGCAGGTTTTTATCGAGAGATTAATTATCCGCAGAGGTCTCTTCCTCTTCAAAACAAACAGACCTGGTGATTTAAACCGATAAAAAAAAAAAAAAAAATGAATAAAGCAAAAAAGAAGAAAGAAATCTGTGTTTTTCTGATGAGGAGCTTCTCATTATGGTGGCCAACACAAAACAGCAAAAATGCAATTAGCCCTACCTAGAGCCAGTGTTTGGTTTGGCTAATGTAGAAATATGGTGGTACAACATGATGGTCTCCATAGATGAGGACCTGCTACATATGTAGATATGAATATTTTCAGGTGATGAAACTAAAGAAAACATACTTATTAAGTGTACTTAATATTCAATTTCTGCCAATATATCCCCCCAAATCTTACACACTGCACCTTTAACCTTCCCAAAGCTACTGAGCTTTACAAGCAGAAGTGAAACACTTTTAAACATCAGTCAGAAAAGCAGATCCGGTTGTTCCCAAAAAAAATTACCAAGAATTCTTGATGCTGCATCAGCAAGCATGGAACATGGTGTGTGCTAAAAACAAATGTGACAAAATACGTCACATTGGATTTATATTCAAGACAAGACAAGACACAACAAGTTCAAGACTGGGGCAATGTTTGTATTTTGTGGTTGAGGATTGTGCAATATGCTGCTTGATTATTTGGAAAGACTCAATTCTGATCTAAAGGGGGAGTTACAGATTTTGCCTGACCTGGTATAAATAGCACTCCCCTTTGGCAACAAACTCAAACTCTTCAAGGCACATTTTCAAATTAGAGATCTGCCGCAATTCTTGGCGCAAGCGGACGGGTAGCTTAAGTGCTAAAAGTGAGTACAGCTTAGCAGACAACACTGCTTTAAAATCTGACTCCACAATCAACAGGTGAAAAGGCCACAGAATCCAGAGTCCATACTACCTACATACAAGGTAAGAAGATTACCAAGCTGTCATTGCATCAAACTGAAATTTGGTGTTAAATGCTGTGCCTGAATGTGATGAGGCTCTTTAGAGTGGTTTGGCTTTTTTGTTTTATTTTTCTTAGGCATTTAGATCGAAAACACAACAGAGAGATGATTACATATGATCCAGAAAAGCCAGTGTGAGGGTTAGATCAACGAGTCTGAAAGTTTAATAGACATCAAATGTTCTCTTTTTTGAGACAGACTTTACAACTACACTGTGACGATAATTTCATCCTCTCTATTATCTGAGACTGTACGAAGTTTGGTTCAATGCTTTTGTAGGAAAACATACGAACAGTACATGAGAACAGCCTGAGTATAACACACGTCTCTGAACAACCACTATATGTTATGTTTGCCTATGTGCATTGGGGATGTAAATCACTAGTTTCGATATGATATTATATTGATTTAGAGAATGATACGGTATTTACTGTTATTACAAGGTCTGCCATGATACGGTTTTGATTTGATGCAATTTAGGGGCCTGCAATCAATATGAGACGATATTGTATGCCCATTTAACACATTTGGTTACAGAAGACGCTGCCATTCCTTTTTTTTTTTGCTTTTAGCCATAAAAGGTAAAAACAACACATAAATAATATAAGTAATTGTAAATGCTTAAGTGCAGTAACGTTTACTTTAAATTAAAATTTCATTTTAACCTTAATGCTAATCTTTTTCCTTAAACTTCAGGGTTAACTGGCTTAAAGTCCTGAGGGCAAACTTCTCCCAACAGCCATAAAACATGGATTAACATCAACATAATTCAACATACGTATCAAATTCAGCCCAGTATTAACTGTCAAGGTTCACAGACACAATTGTTTTTTGCTAGTCACCCACTGTTAGCTTAAGCATGTTTACATTGCACAAAATTAGCTTAGCGGCTAGTGGATTTTTTTTCCTTTACTCATAGCTCATAGCCTTATTATTTTTCTGCTCACCACTGGTTTAAGTCACTGCACTCAACAGAACAATAATGCTGAATTTCAGCCTTCATGTACGTTTTTTCAGCCTAACATCGTTAATACAGAGCGGCTAATGTTGCTGCAGTGAGAAATTAGCGGAAAGAGATGCCCAACCAGGCAGGTAACGTTACGTCGTATCTTATCTCATGACATCATTGTTTACATACGCCATGTTCTCTGTATTTTGACCTTCATTTTCTCTGAAATCCAACATATTTCCACACTGCTGATTTATTCCCGACTAAATAACGTTATCCTCATCGATTAGTCGACTAATTGTGGCAGCCCTATTCACCACACAGCATTATGGTGCCTGAACGCATCCTCTCTAGACCCTGACGGAGGACTGAAGCTTGCCCCTCGTCTGTTTAAATACAGTGTTGGTATCTGACTCATGTGACTCACCTCTTTTTGAAGATATCAAAATCAAAATTCTCAAAAACTTGTGTGACTCACCAAAGATGTCATTTCCTATCCATCCTTTGGACAGAATTTCACATTTGTGGTTTCTTGGTAATAAGAGGTGTCTGACTGTCAGATTCATCATCCTTCACTCAGCTCAGTTAAATGCTGATGCATCTGTTTTACTTCCTCTCACTGGGCAAGAGCTGATAAACTGTATGTTCTCACGTACACTGCAACGTACTTCTGGTTGCAGACCAAAATCCAGACTTCACAGAAAGACTTTTTTGTGCCAGTTGTTTCAACATAGGCGACTGTGCACAAAATGTGTTTTCAGTTTAACTGTTGGAATGTCTCCATTTCTTCAAGCCACAACTGTTTTGGTCAACCAAAGCAAACTCAGAGTTTGCACAACAAACTAAATAAGAGTGTATGCAGTTTTATAAATCCATCTTTGTCCCATTTCATTATGCAACATCTGGCTTCTTCAATATCAGATATGCCAGTTATGTATACAGTTGACATTTGCAAATTGTATATATACACACACACACGCATGCACGCACTCACACATGCTCTACCACAGAATTTACAGTACTGAATAAACAGAGACAACACAGTCCAGCTTCTAACGACAGCCTATATTCAAGCTATTATAAAGTTCACAGATTAGGCAGGACACTTTCTTATCTCAAGGACTTTTTACAACTCAATGTTTTGGACTTTCAGCTGTTTTCCCCACCCAGGAAATCAGCCATTAACTTTGGGCTGGATCTAAAAAGGCAGGGCATAAATAGTAATCACTCTCTTCCTTCTGTCTTCTTTTTCTCTGGTGGAGACATGGGGAAGGGCTTCTTCATCAGCAAAGCAGTAGCTTTAACCTGTTTGGTTGCAGCCATCGCTGCTGTGGCCACCATTATAGCCCTGTCTGTGGTTTACGCTCAGGAGAAGGCAAAGAATGAAGTGACACCTACATCCACCGCCAGCCCCAGTACCAGCCCCCCCTCGCCCACCACACCATCCAGCCCGAAGGAACCCTGGCAGAAATACAGACTTCCAGATTCCCTGTCTCCTGTCTCCTACAATATCACCCTGTGGCCCCGGCTGGAGCCCAACGCAGACGGCCTGTACATCTTCACTGGAAACTCCACAGTGATCTTCAGATGTGTGAAGGAGACTGATCTCATCCTCATCCACTCCAACAAGCTGAACCTCACCAGCTTCGGGGGATAATTGGCCCAGCTGAGGGGCCTAGATGGAGCCACTGCGCCCAGCCTGAAAAGCACCTGGCTGGAGATTCCTACCCAGTACCTGGTGATCCAACTCAACAGCCCACTGCAGGCCGGCAGCACGTACGAGCTTTTCACTGAGTTTGTTGGAGAGCTGGCTGACCAACTGGGAGGATTTTACAGGAGTGAATACATGGAAGATGGGGTGAAAAAGTATGATGGTCTTTTTTTTAAATTAAATTTATTTTAAATATTTAGTTTTAAGAATTCTGCCATTGTGAAAGTTTTTATACAATGTGTAAATATTAATATGGAGGAATGCAGGATTTTAACAACTTAACAGGCAGGGATTTAAACCAGACCCTCACTTAAAGGGATAGTTATTATTATATATTATATTATTATAGTTATTTTTTGAGGAGGGGTTTTGTCCCTGGTCAGTGTATTAAACACAGTAAATGTGTAAACAGTAAATGTATTCTTAATATTCCTGAGGGAGATGTGAAAAAGAAAAGTTATGGTAAAGTGGGTACACCACAAAACTGACAACCACCATATTACATAATAACTCAGAAGAGATTTAACAGGGGTTATATTACTGTGTGAGAGTATATAAGGATCGAGGGTTCCTTTAACTTTTGATGTGGGTGTTAATTATGAGTATCTGCTATTGTCAGAGTTGTGGCCACGACTCAAATGCAGGCAACGCAAGCCAGGAAAGCCTTCCCCTGCTTCGATGAGCCCGCTATGAAAGCTGTCTTTCACATGACTCTCATTCACCCCCATGACACTGTGGCTCTGTCCAATGGCATGAACTACGGCAAGTTTCAGTGTGTGTCAGTGCCCAGTGCAGCATTTTACATGTGAACTGTCTATGTGCAACATTTCTCAGTGACCTAAAAGTTAAAGTGCAACATACCTGTCCTCAACTACATTTTTGTATGTCCAGATTTAATTTACAACAACAGCAAACATAACATATTCTGCTTCAGGTACATTATTTGTCCTCATTTTTTCATTTGTAATTAATCTGTTGCTGTCTCTTTCCCCACACAGAGCCTGTTAACGCTCCTGTGGACGGACACATTCAGACAAGCTTTGAACCCACCCCGATTATGTCAACCTACTTGCTGGCTTTTGTTGTGTCCGATTTTGCATTCAATACATCGACTCCTGATGCAGAAGTTTTGGTAATTATTTATAACATCTTACAGTCGAAACCCTGCAGATGGATATGGGTACACAACATCTACAATATTCACATTCATAGGTCTATAATAAACATGTGCCCAACTTATCTGATCTGTACGTTGATGCCCAGTTTGAGAGGGAACATAAGGAGAATTGCTGCATTAATTTCAGGAAGTAATGCATGAAAGTTAAAATTAGGAATTTTCCTGGCATTCAAGCTGTTGGTGGAATAGGTCCACTGTGAACTTGGATCCTTGATACCATGGATTAGTCCACTAAACACTAGTTATGACTGGTTCATACAGTGGTTTAATTTTAACTGTGTATTTCAGTCACAACTTGTTATTAGCCATTATAAAAGCGGTTTTATTAACAATTGCCGCTATTACCACCATCTTCCACTGCCACAACCGTGACTACCAATTTAAACACAAGATGTGGGCTTGTCTTGTCATCTGCCTTCCTGGTGGTCACAGTGTTTCTGTGCTGCCCTCTGCTGGAGTTAAAGCTCAGTTCAGGTCTCTGACTTACCTTTTTATTCTGTCGAGTTAATAAGGAATTACTTGTGTTTAGATCAGGATCTGGGCTCGCAGGAAGGCTATAGAGGAGGGCCAGGGAAACTATGCCCTAGAGAAGACTGGGCCCATACTGGCATTCTTTCAGAAGTACTACAACTCTTCTTACCCTCTGAGCAAGTCAGGTAGGAACCACACACACACACACACACACACAC